GTAGTGCCATCAACAAGTAGAAATAGCTGCGAAATCCCCCCAAGGAATTTGCGGTTCGCTGCAAATTGGGTCGTACAGCTCATCAAGAGAGAAGGAGAGGGAGAGTGATTTCCACCGTGTATATAATAAATTAAACAATGCCATGACGCAATTTGGCTCAATCTCCCTCTATTTTCGTCTGAATTTTTATGCAAATTGAATTGTTAAAACAATAAACACAAAAAACAACTGCAAATAACATGGCTCTCTGATCATTTGCATCTCAATTGAAAATTTCGTGTTAGTTTTTTTTCAGATAGAATCGGACGGGATTTAATGCACTTCCCTAATGCGAAGTTTTCATGCCAAAACAAAGGAAAAATATATAAAATGTATAGCGAGGAATTACAAAACTAAGGAAAAATTTGTAATACAAACTATTATTTTATTTTAGCTTTAGGCTTTTCTAAGTATTAATCTTTATTGACTATTAAACTCACGTTTTACATTGATTTAATTAAATAAATTCGCCTTTTAAATCGTTAATCATTTCTGATTGTCTCAACTTAAATTTTCAATCTTCTCAGGGCAACGGAATCACATTTTGTACATTAAGAAAAATATTCGCCTTTTCCATCTGCGGCACCCTGCTTATTGGGTTAATGTCTCATTGTCTCCGTGCCTGCAGACGATTCAATTTCAGCGATAAATAAAATAAAATTATAACAGATACCAGACAAAGCTGTGCGACCTTAAGGTGCCTTAACTTTTTCGGAGGGGCAAAGGCAAGAAGACATATGTGTTCTGTCTCTGGTGACCAGGGCAATTGCTTGATTTATATTCCGGCAGATACAACACGACGACGAAAGAATAAATACGCTGAAATGAGTTACAGCCCATGTAAAATAAGGGAAAAAGATACAAGAACGCGATCTTCTCACTGAAGATAGCAGAAAATTAGCCGGAAAAAAGCGACGTGCCTACACGTGTGTGTTCGATGACCCAAATGCGATTAAGAGCCCTAAAAAACAAAAAAGTCCGTCAACTAACTAACTAATATCCCAAGTTGGGCCCTTCTATGTTGATTCTATCGGTTGGCGCGGATTTCTTATAAATTTCGAAATTAATTATGTCACATTATGTAATCTGATCAGCTTCGTTGCGGTTGCCGCCGAATGCCTGGGTTGTCAACGCATCCCAAAACTCTCGACCCTTTTCACAAAAAAAACTGGAAGGGGTGGCAGACAGATCAATGAACAATGGGAAATGCGAACTGGGATCCGACCAAAAAAAAAAGAAACCAAGCCGAAAATAAAAACAACAGCGGCACGAATTCCAGTTCTTCAGGTAGGACACACAGAAGGCAGAAGATTCCGATTCCGCCTCTTCAGATATTTTATCTTCGAAGGTGAGCGCTCTCTGCACTGGGAAAATATCAATTAATCATACAGAAAATTTAATTAAATTATAGATAAGGGGTTGGTGGGAACTAATGTTGAGGTAAAGTATTTAAATTTATTTTTTTAAGGTTTATAAAGTAAAATCATATATGAATACTAGTTGTTTTAAATATTTTTTAACATTTTTTTTTTCAAGAACCCTTTTTTTTTGCAGTGTTTTTTTGCCTTTGGTTTGCACTTGGAATCGGATTCGGATTCAGATTCAGCTACAGCTTTAGCTCTACAATCAGGATTTGGCTTTTGTCTTTGCTCTTTTCATTCATCGAGAAGAGAAGCCTACCGAATACCGCGTCCCGAATCGGGGGAAATTTAAGATGACAAACCGAACGAATTCGGGGCAGGTAACGAGGGCCATATAATTTGAGTTTGAATTACGATACCCGGCAGATATTCGATGTGGTTATCAGTATAAATGGCCAATGGGATCAGTTGAGATCGGTAAACTCGGTTTTTGGGGGCGTGCATTGTCAATGAGGTGGAGAAATCTCGGCAAAAAGGGGATAATTAAAGGTAATATCATATATTGTGTTCGAAGCAAGTTTATTGCTGAAATTCGAGATGGAGAAAACTCGGCTTGAGGAAGTGAAAAACATAAAGAAAATTATCCAGCCCATCCCCAGAAAGAGCTCGGCTAGAACCATTCAAAGGGATTAGGCATCGTTAAGGACATTAAAAAAATATATTATTCGAATTTATGGATGTAGTAATAACTTCCCCTATAAAAATAAAAAAATTGGGGAAGGGAAGGAGGGGATATAAAATAATTTCCTTGGGTATCTACAGCTTTTGTCTCTTCTTCCAGTTGGCTGGCATTTCTAGTGGAAATAACTCACGCTTCTTTGAATTTAATCCCCATCTAATGTTCTCTAAACCCAAATTATGAGCCCTGCAGAAAACCCTTTCACTTTAACCCCTTCTTTTAAGCCATTGATAAATCAAATTTCCATATCCGAAAAAGGTAAACGAAATGCGAAAAAGAGCTTAAAATTAATTGAAATTGTATCTTTTTTTTGTGTGGTTTGAAAAGCATAAAAATAAAACTGCATAATTGGGGGAAAAATTCACTTTAAGCCAGCGTAATTTGTGCATTATTTAAGTGGCAAGAGATTTTATGGCGACTCCCTGCCTGGGCGAAATAATTCGCTTTTAATTGCATTTTTAGCGCTTCACAGTTGAAAACTACACATTTTCAATGGCCAAAATGGTTAAAGCAAGTCTGCTTGTTTGGCTTTCGCGTTCGCTGAGCAGACTTTGTCTGGCCAATTTAAATCCATTTTGCATTTGCATAAAGCTTAAAAGGACGGGAAGAGGAATTGGGGAAAGCTTGGCCATTTTTACTTATTTTGACTGCAAATATGCAGAAAAGGGAAAAAGTAAAAGGAGTAAGGGATCCCCAAGGAAGCAGACCAAGTTGAAATGTTGTCGTTTGTGTCATTTGCATCAGAGCTTCAGCAGCACACAAAATGCACTTTATCAACTACTTGCAATCTTGCAGAAGGATGTCCTGGCTTCTTGCTCCTTTTTCCTGCTCCTCTTGGTGTTCCTCCTCGAAAAGACCGCAAAAGTAAAAGAAAAATGGGCAAAAATATGATTATTTACGGCAATTTATTAGCCGCAATTTAAATTCATAATTTCAAGGAAGTTTCCATTTCCCAGCAAGTGGCCAGTGGATTGCAGTTGAGAAAAAATAAATAAAAATAAAAGAGACTAGCCTTTTGAGAAAGAAAAATAAAATAAAATAACAAACTCAAAAAGGATGAGGTTTGTGTTATGGTAGACGGCTAATCCCAGAACGACGTCTGTCTGGTCTGCAAAATGCAGCTTAGTTCTCATAATTGGCAGCCTCGAAAAAGCTCGATATTTGCATTCCATTTGTGTATGGAAAATATATAGAAAATGGTTGGCAGACGACGTCTGGAATGTGCAGCAATTAGGGAAACTACTTGCAACACTTGCACACAGCCACTCGTGCGGCAATTAAAAACGAGTTGCCAGCAATTCAAACGTAACAAATTAAAGCAGACGCAGACAGGATCATCGCAAAAGGACGAATGCAACGAATGCATGTGCAACCACACAAAAGGGGTGGCAACCCCTAACAAAAAAAAAGGTTGCAATGAGGGAAAGAATTTCGAAAAATTATAATCTCTGTTGTAGAATTTTTACTCGTTAAGTAAACAACATAAATATGCAAAGTACAAGGTTTCTCAATCGGAAACATTTATCTTTTCCATAAATATATTGTTCTAACAGAAACTTTTTGAATAATAAAATAAATTTCAATAATTTATTTTTAAATATCAAATACCTCCTGAAAAACCGAACATAAATGACGCGTTTTTCCTTAGTCTCAATTATTTCTTCCTGACATTATAAAATTGGTTCTTTTTTTAACAGTAATTTTGCAAAACAATTACCACAATGGGTTAAGGCAGGAAAAGACTTATGTAATTCCCTTTGTCTGAAGCCTTTTGTTCCTTTCGATTTGATGATCTTGCCTTGTTTGTTCGGTTTTTTTCTGTCCAACCAGATCCTGACTTCTTGAATGATAGGAATAGGATAGGAGATATAGAAAAATATACCCCTTGAGCAGGCTGAACCTGCGCAGTTTGGAATTGCGTCGTCAGCTTAACAAAAAGGATTCCCCCGGGTTCATTGAATGCGCAGTTTGTTAGATTGACAGGCATTCCGATTTCCTCGAAAAAAATGGACGAAGGTGTTTGAAAAGTGCGTAGTTCTGCCGCAGGCATCAAAGTGACAGCTTTATAAAGGACTCGACACCGCAGATAAGCCCAAGGACGAAAACAATACGAATTGAGACGCAAATGGGTAACGACACTAAGCAGTTGGATTAGAAATGTTGGAGGGGACACAAAGGAAACAGGTAAGGGAGTCAAAACGAGTGGTTTGTTCACCTTTTCAGCTCCAGCGAACTGCGCAAACAAACAGCAGCGGCAATAAAAGCATACAAATTTAGCCATTGTTGGCCATCGCAGCTAATAAAATTTGCCCCGCCAAACATAAACCAGCAGCAAAAACAGAAGCTGCATATAAAAAGTTGAATGGTAGACAGGGAAAGATGGTTAAATAGGGGTGTACCCTATATAAAGTTATGTACTGGAGTTGTTAGTAAGTTTTAGAAAATTTAGTATTTCAAATTAGTCTATCTCCTTGGTAAATGAGGATAATACAAAACATAATTAAAATTGACAAAAAAAAAGTATGTGAAAATATTTTTAAAATATTTTATTCATTTTTAGAAAATATAAATATTTTAAATTTATCATCCTACTGATCTGGATATTTAATTAAATATACTATCGAATCAATATTGTGAAAACATCGAAATTATCGATACTTTTAATGATCTACTTCAAACTTTAACGGAAATAACAGAAATTCTCAGGCTGACAATGAAAATATATAAATCAAATATATAAAAACACAACTACCCATCTCGAAACCTCGAAAGGGTATAGAAAACCCGCAGGACAGACAACACGTCGTATGAGCGATGAGCAGAGGTACAAACTAGAAGAAACTGCTGGCTGGCTGGCTGACTGGCTTGGATAGCTGGCAACTAATAAACTTTTTGCCATTCCCTCTGGCCAAGTTGTTGGCCAACTTAATGCAGCGGAACTTCGCCTCGGCCATTTCGCCGTGTTTTACAACTCTTTCAGTGCAGCAAAAAGGCAGCAAAAACAGTGTGCAACGTGCCACATTCGCCATGTGCAGCGTGTTTATTAAGCGCATTTATGCGTTGTAAATAAAAAGCCAAAATTACGCGCTCAGGAAATTGCATTTCGCATCGCGAAAGAAGGCTCTTAGGGGGCCACTAGGGGGTTAAAGGGAGAGTGACACAATTTGGTCCATAAAAGTTTTGAATGCCCCAGACGTGCGCAGACCTTCCGAAAAGGTGTGCTTAACTCTGGGGAACTCTTACTAATTTTATATCGCAATGCATAAAAGAAATGCTTTAACTTTGAGTGACGCATTTCGCAGGCAATAATTTGTGGGCTTTAAAAAATAAACTATAAAACTAATCGGATTTTCGGATAATAAATAATGCATCCGTTGAGAATTAGGCAAATAACTATTATTAAATTGTGATTTATGCCCTATTCGAGATACGAAAAAAAAGAGGTCTTCACTCCAAGATTTATTTAACAGCTAGAAATTTACAGACCAACTCACCCGAGATTACCATTATCATTCGGTAGAGACAAAAAGCGTAAACTCACCTGGAAAGAGAAAGAAAACATATGAAATTAATATCAATTAAATGGGATTTGCTTGTTTTGTTTGGGCGAGAGCAAAATTAAAATTTAATTACACTTGCGTCCAGACGAAGGCCACAAAAGGTCGGCGAGAAAATAAATGAATAAGAACTAAAGCTCAGTGAAAGTTTTTCCAGGCTGTGCCAGGGACTTTCCCCCGCTCCCATTTTTCCTTAACTAACATAAACTCCTCTCCTTTTGCTATTAAATTTTTTGCCCTGGCCATTCATTCTGGTCCGTTCAGATCCCAGTTTCGCTTCCCTGGAGAAGCACAGAGCACCTGCAGCTGCTGCTGGCAAGGATTCCGATTCTTTGTCTGGGCGAGCGTCATAAATATCACATTTGTGGCAGACACATATCCACACACCCACCACAGTTGCATATAAAAACCCGTGTATGTTCGGGGATATGGCTGAAAACTTATTTGGCATTGTGTTGCATACAGCACGGCGCATTTGCCGCATTTTATGAGGTGCAAATAAAAAGTTTGCTATAAAAATAGCTATAGACATGTGAACACAACTCACTGGAAAAGAAAATTACACAGGGAAAATAGAAACTCGAAACTAGTTTTAGTTTTTTATTTGCAAAAATAAATATATCATCAGGTGGTCCCGAGATTTAGAACACTGTAGTCGAATCGAATGATTTAAAGAATTGTGATTCGAATCTAGGGATTCCAAATTCTGTAATTTGAAATATGATTAAAAATTTAGTGATTTTAATTTTTAATTCTTATTAATTTGTAATGTCTCTAAATCAAAATATCCTCCTGCCTAGATTTTATATAATATCAACTCAAAATATTAATATCCAATTTTAATCATATTTTCTCTCTGTGTAAGCTCCTCTGGTCGGGACAGCAAACTAAGTAGAAAAATGCATGTCTGGCACTCTGGAGTGTGTCTAACAAGCAATCGGAAACACGCCAAAAGAAGTTAAATCCCCGACCTCTAAAGAAGTTCCCTTCCTCGCCTCACTTTTGCCCCGTCATTTCCGCGCTAGCTTAAAGGTTCTTCTCCTTAGAAGAGCTTTAATTAATTTGAGTGAAAAACGCACGTCAGGCACAGGTGCAATTTATATATATTTTGCCCACTCTTTTCAGTCCTCCCCCCATCGAAAGCAGTGCTTGAAACAATAATCCTTGACAGAGGAGCAGCAAGCACATTTATTATTGAACTATTTATACCAGGGCCAAGTCAAGTGGAGTCGCTTTCTACGTGCCGTGCGAACTAAAAAGCCAGCAGACAGGAAAATAAATCGGAGGGGGAACCACTCTTATATGTCAACGACATTCGCCCACCGTTTCGTTTCTTCTAGAACCGAAATTGAAATTGATTTGCAAGTTGATCTCCGGCATATTAAATAAAAATCGAAGTCGAGTGAGTGGCTTAAAACGAATGCACACCACATGTTCTCCAAATAATTGGAGGGGAAAAAGAGGTAAATCCCCGAGTTTAATTGCCAAAGTAAACAGAATGTAATTAGGGGAACAAAGTTGGTCTGCGGAGTTGGGCAAATCGAATTAGTTTCGTTTACATTGGGGATTAGTTGTATTTAGTAGGGAGCAGAGCAGCAGGTGCCACATAAATGATTCTCCGCCAACGGAAGTGGACTTCAAGAACTTACTTCAAAATCGAATTTTCCTGCAAGTCTTTTATCAGCAAAAGGTCAGACTTTTTCGGGTGTGTGGCACTACTACAAATTTCTTATGCACACAAAACTAAAGAGGAGTGTTGGGGGCACTGGGGAAAGGTAAGCACTTGGCGAGTCTATGGCCCAGACACTTGAGTCGGGTCGAGCGGCTATAAAGGTGACAATAACTTAACGAGCAATGAACTCGGTTTGTTGTAGCTGCCTGTTCTTGATGAGCTTGTTGTAGTTGTACACAGAAACCAATTCTGAGGTTTATTAGAAGTGTTATTATAGAAAATGTATAGAATTTCGGTTTTGGTTTTTAGATTTTTATATCAAAACATTTTGCCATACGACTAATCCTTCAGAAAGACAACGCATTAATTTTATAACTTTGGAGATCGATTTTATGAATTTACAATTTCCAGAAATTTAAAAACACTACTTTATTTTTCAGTGCATCTGTTTTTGTTACCACTTCTGTGACCGGCGACGATGTTGCAAGGAAGTGCCACTAAATTGTGGCAGATAACAACTAAGAGGTATGGGCAAAAACATGGAGAACAGCATGTGGTCAAAAGTCCGGGTCTTCCCCCAGTTTTTGCCCTTAAAGTTCCAGCCTGTTGTTCACTGTTACCCTTCCCTTTTTTCTGTCGCTGGTTATCTTTGAAGGCAACGACGAAACTCTTCAATAGGTAAAACCTCGAAAAAAAAAGACGAGGAGAAAGAAAACATTTTTATATGCTTGCTCGAACACAACAGTGCGTATGATGAATGGCAGTTGAACTACCGAAGGAGCTGCTCCTCCACAGCTGCTCCTTCTCATTTTCCCCGATTTCATTCCGTTTGTTGATTTGCACGTGTGAACTGAGGAACAGGAGACAACGAACCCGAAAAGCGAAGAAATGAGCTGCTGAAATGGCAATTTAAGTGACTGTCGACTTGAAGTGAAGATATAGGGGGTTCGGAGGGAAGTGAAGGGAACTGTTTGCCAGATGCCAGGATAAAAGCTCAAAGGCAAACACATTCCCATCCAAAAGAACCAAACATACAAAATATTTAAACACAAAAGGAGCAGCCCAGGCAGCAGATGAACAACAATAATAAGGGGTTATCATTCAAGTCGAAGGTAAAGTACTCTTATTGGTAAAATATTTCAATTTATTGTTGATACAATTGATTTAAGTTATGAAAGTGGGCCATACTTTAGGAAAAGAAGTTATCCCTAATTTTTAAATCCTATCTAAAGGTGTCTAAAAGTATGCTACAATATGTTTTTTATTGCATACTTTTAGACGCATTTTTACGTGATTTTAAAACTCTATGTCCATATTCAGCACACCTCATAAAATTAAATGATATGCATCATAAATTTCCCAACTACAGGGTATAAAAACCACGCCACAAACACAATTTCCATCAATAAGAAACACGAGATTGGAGCAGAAACAGAAGAAATCTCCTGGTTCACAGTCCAACGCCTCTTCCCCAATCATTTAAGATTCCTTACCAGCTCATTCCCCATTCATTCGTTCATTCATTCAGTCATTCATGATGGATGCACTTTCAGGTGAGAGGCACAAGCTGCAAATGCATCAAAGTGGAAGACGTCGCTCAAGTGGAAGCTCAGCGGAAAGAAAAACTCGTGGAAAACCCGTGCCGGAGGAAAAAGTCATTAAAATCGCATAAAAGTGGGCCCAGGAAGAGGTCCAACATGATGTTGAGGCCTTGACATGGTCGGTCACTGGCCAGAATGATTAATTGTTCTCGCCAACCACCTTCTTTTTTTTAAGTGTGCGCGGTATCAAAAAGTCATCAAATCCTCACCTCAATTTATATTAATGACAAAAATGTTTGACAAAATCATTAAATGCTCACACAAAAAGGCATAAATAATTATATAAACACCCCGAAAAAGGAATATTAAAATAATAAAGAAAACGTTCCGAATGCTTTTTTAATAACTTTTGTGACCGCGAAATAAATGATTCAGACTGGAAATGTGAACTGCTCCCAAGCGTTCATTAATTTAAAAATTTTAGCGGAGAAGGGGGGAAAACTCATTGTTTTTTTTCTGGTTATGTGAAAAATCATTTACGCTTTTTCCCAAAGTTTTTTTCTTTTTAAACCGCAATGGCAATCCCCGACTGACGTGAACATGAACCATTAATCATCGCCAAATGTAAGCGGCACAGAAAAACAACAGCGAAACTTGTCACAAAAACTGTGTTTTCGGTGGGGGTAAATAACACATTTATATGCATTACTCCATCTTCAAATAATAACTCTTACTTTCCTTCTGAATGTCAGGCAATTAAATGACTCCCTCGTATGAGTCACCCACTCTGTTTTACTTGCAATTTTTCATTAAGCGAAATTAAACTGCAGACAGCGGAGTGCAAATAAAACGCAAACATTGAAAAATGAAAAGTCAAACAGAAAAAAGCACAGAATTGCCAACCAGCCAAGAGGAAAAAAATAAAAAAGAGGAGCAAAAACTTGACATTAATCATTACAAGCGCAGACAAAGAGCAAACTCGGCAAAGAAATGGGGAAAAAAGATTGTCGCGTGTGTAGTTTTATTTTTCCTCCTTTTTTATTGCAAACCATATGGTAACAGTCGATGGGAAAATGGGGAAAAACCAATGATTTGCTGTTACCACACCAGAAATTGAAGAGCCCTTAATAAACACAAAATAATATTTATCCTAAAAGGAAATAATCTGGAATTTTTAAAATATAATAACAAGAAACAATCATGTTTAACATTTTAAGTCTTATTTATTAATGCATTTATAATGCTAAATAAAGCATATAATTAATCCGAAATGACAACACTTAAAATGTTTTTAAATTCGAAAAAAATAAATGTTTAATGCATGAGGCCATTAGGAAGCCTTATAAAAATATTAATTAATTCAATAATTTATTGAATATTAACTTGCAAATTTCTGACAAACCAAAATTTGACTTTGCAATTTATAAAATACCCCGGAGATACCGCAAAAAGCCTGAATTTGCAACTCTTTCACAGCGATTAAAATGTTTTTATTGAACATTCCTGAAAGCGAAAGATTTCTGAGATTCCTAGACGTAATTTTGGCCCTCTTTCCACCACACTGCCAAAAAGTGTTATTCATGGGCCGAAAGTCGAAACTCATTGGGAATTCACGCCGGTGATGTTAAGCGCAGCAATTCCAACGCCATAAAGTATGCCATAAAAAGCCAAGTATTTCAAAAATAGACAAGGATAGGCCCAAAAGGACCAAAAACGAGCGCCCCGCAAGGCGGCACGCCATTAGTCGCCACATTAGTCACGGGGGATTTTC